GGCGAGGACGCGCTCAAGCGCCGGCGCCAGCAGGAAGCGAATGAAGCGCGCGAAGCACGGCGGCTCGGCCGGCAAGCGGCGCGTGAAGGTCAAGCAGCGGCAGCAGCCACGCAAGGTGGCGATGGAGCAGATGGAGCGGCAGCCACGACGCAAGAAGGCGGCGAGGTGCAGATGCTGCTTGGGCGAGGACGACGAGCACGACCAGCACCAATGCCGGAGCTCCTGCAAGTGGCCACAGCAGGACACATCGTGGAGAGGGCAAGGCGGCGTGTGCGGAACAGGGCTGGTCGCTACGTGCTGGAGCACGAGGTGGAGTACGGCGTCAGGCCGGGCGGACCGACAAGCAGGAGGTGGCTCACGGCGGACGAGTTCGAGACGCTGCTCGATGCCGGAAAGATCGAGGGCGATCTTCCAGCCGGGGATGGCGTGTAGTTGTGTGGCCCGTCACACGGCCAACAGCCGCGTGTCCGAGCTGCTGGACGTGCAGGAGTTGACGACGGACGTGATGTGGCACACCATGGCGGTGTCGGTGACGACGATGTACGGCTAGATGCGGCCGGTGGCAGGGGCAAGTCAGCGGGCTGGAGCCACCGACCAACGCTGGAAGTGGGCGATTGAAGTTGAAGCAGCGTGACTGCCGAAGATCGCAGGAGGTACGACGTGTGAAGGCGAGTCAAGGTGGAAGCATGCCAGGAGGCGAGGCGACGCCAGCGGAGCGAACGTGAGGACAAGAAGTGTCGAGTCGACAAGAAGGGGGAGAGGTCCAAGGAGGATAGGAAGGGCGCTGTAGCTAGAGTTAGTATAGGCGACGGAGGGGCTACGGTAGATAGGAGGGAGGTGAGCGGCGGCCGTGTCGACTCGACCCTCAGTTAAGATTTGTTGCGGGACGTGCAGCGAGTTGAGACTAATACATTGATCTGCGCCGGAAGCACGGGTTGCTGACCATCGTACTGCGGCGGAGGGCGTCGGCGAGGAGTCGAGCAGTAAGGGAGAGGTAAGCTGAGGTAGAGCTCGCACATGATGAGGGCAGTGGACAAGTAGAGCGACGGAACCGTGGAGAGAGACCACGGGGGTTGTGGCGGAGCGCCTCGACCGAGGGACAAAGGGTCCACGTGTACCTACGGGTGAAGGGTGAAGGACACCTGCGTCCGTTGCATGTAACCGGGCTAGTTGCGGGGAGCAGCCGGCGGGGCTACCCGACCGTCGGTGCCGATAACGCTTCCTCCCAGTCATCTCTATCCGTCACGAGGTGGCGGCCAGTAACTGTCTGGTTGACCACTGTAAGAACTGCCTCGTGCTGATGCCACCGCGGCTAACCCGCTACCTAGGTGCAGAGGTCTGCAATCGATGACGGCTGGCTGACGACCTGTAATGGATGGGGCAGGGAGGTTGGCGCTAGCTACAAAGACTTCGGTAGCGACGTTATCAGCGCTCACGCACAGGCACTGATACCGTCGTTGCCGAATTCTTCGCATGCGTGGGCTCAGGTTGCTTCACCCGAGAAGTTCATTGTAACCTTAAGACAAATATTTTGCCTTGAACATCGTGAAATTCGTTTCCAGCGCTGTACTTTTAAAGCTTATACTTTTAACTTTAAAAAAGTATATGGTGATTTACATTCAGTTATACATGTAGTTCATAGTTACACAGTTCATGCAGCACCCCAGTTCCATTTAGTCGCAAGGAACATGTAGCTGCGGCCCGCAGTTACATGCTCCGCAGCCTGCGGCACTGAGACCGCGACGTCGTGTACTGTAGCAACAAACCTCAAGCATAAACTTTGCGTTTTTGTTTCTGCTTTTTTGCTAACACCACACTTCAGACTCCAACCTGGACAACACAAACAGTGATACATACTGCATGTGACCTCAGTCGAGGCAAGACCGGGACAACCTCAGTTGATTCATGAATGCAGCGGCGCAACTCAAAGCTGCCACTCGCTGCTACAGCACATTTCACCCTCGTTCAGAGAGCTCATTCTCGATTGTATCGACCAACGCGCAAGCTTACATCACTGCGCTATGCGCAGCATCGGCGTTGCACTGGTGCTGGCACCGGCGCTAGCCGCTGTGTGTCTCGCCGACAACCTCGACAAGTACGGAGTGTTCACACCCAAGAAGATCGCGCTGGGTCCCGTGCCGTCCATGGACGGACAGACCTACTCGAGCGGCTTCACGCTCTCGTCAAACCCACCGCTGGCCACGCTTGACTACGACTAGGCCTGCCGTACTTCGTCGTGTCCTCCGTCTCCAATGGACCCGTAGACGTCGAAGTCAAGTACTCGGAGCAGTTTCCGGCGCTTTCGCTCAACTACTCGGATGGTCCGTCGCAGTTCACCACGTCCATCGCCAACTCGCGTCGCGTTGAGACTCACCGCTTCACGGACAGCGACGTCGGGGCAACGATCACCTCCATGCTCAGCCAGCCCGGTGAACGGTGGCAGTCACTGCGTCTGCTCACTGGCGACTCCATCACGTTCGAGAAGGTCGGCCTTCAGGCCTCGATCGAGGTGATCGACGACCTCACCACTCTGCCGGGCAAGTTTTCAAGCTCGAACGCCAAGTACGACGAGATCTGGAAGCTGGGTGCTCGTGCTATCACCGCTGCCTGTTTGGATGCCGGTAGCCAGCTGCCGTCCTGGAGCTCGTCCGAGGAGAACGGCACCTTCGTGCCTGGCACGCGTCCCGGTATCTCCTACCGGACGTGGAACCTGACCAACTACGTGCTCAACTTTGAGTCGCAGATCATCCGCGGAGGCGCAGGATATACCATTGCGTACGATCTGACGGGCAACCGTGACGGCGTCCAGATCCACCTGGCGTCCGAGTACCCGAGCGATACGACGTACATCAACACCAACACCACACTCTTCCCCGCCAACACTGCGACCCTCGCTTGGGGCTACGACTTTGCCAACGCTACGAGCATGACAAGCTACATCCTGGGCCAGTACAACGTGCCGTTCACCGTGAAGGAGAACGTCTGGTATCCTGTCGAAATCCGCGTCAACTCGACGGCCGGCAACATTGTCTTCTCCATCGACGGACAGCAAGTGTTCGACATTGTGCTGACTGAAATGGGCTTCACGGATGACCAGCTCTCGTTCTACGGTTGGGCTTCGCGTGGTGAAGGCGCGATCGGCTTCGGCGGTTGGCAGGACCAGGCCTCTTACGTGAAGAATGTGACGGTCACGAGCCTCACGGACTCGTCCGAAGTGCTCTACTCGAACCCGATGACGGATGAGAGCGTGGTGGTGCCAGAATTCGGTGGCCAGAGCAACACGTACGGCGCATGTCTGGATGGCGCCAAGCGCGATCGGTACATTTGGCTGGGCGACTTCTACCACACGACGCGCATCATGGGCGTTGCCAACTCCAAGCCTGAGCAAATTGCTGGCACGTGGGAGTTCTTGTTCGACTTCCAGGCGAGCTACGGTCAGTTGCCAGGATACGTTCCCATTTCGTATCAATCGCCGATGCCCCCCCCTGAAGTCTTCCTTTATGACGCTGGGACGGCAACTGCCTACTACAACTTCCCGGACTACGTGATCTTCGGCCTCATCGGTCTCGTGTCCTACATGGACTACTACGACGACATTGCATTCGTCGAGGCTCATTGGGAGGAGTTCACTCACGCCATGACGTGGCTTGTCAGCAACCAAGGCAGCAACGGTCTCATTGATCTATCGAAGTACGAAGTTGTCTTCCTTGGATCCGGGGGCGGTATGGCTGTGAACGCAGCCGCTGTCCAGTGCTTCGACGGCATGGCCGGAGTGGCCCGCGCTGTGGGTGACTGGGAGTCGGCGAACGCGTGGGTCGAGACTGCTGCCAGCGTCAAGACCGCCATCAACGAGCTGCTCTGGAATGATACCCTGGGCAACTACGCCGTGGACGCGTCGACTCCTGAGGTGTACGGCGTCTCGGCCATTGCGTTCGCTCTCACCTCTGGAGTAGCGAACGAGACTCAAGTCAAGCTGTGCGTGGAAGGTCTGGAGGGTCTGCGTCAAGGCCCCGGGTTCCTCGACTCGAGCGACGCGGACAACACGACCAAGATCTCCCCGAACACGAACGGGTTCCTGCTCGACGCTCTGCTGCAGCACGGATACACCGACCAGGCCGTCTTCTTGCTGGACAACCTCTGGGACGTCATGCTTTCGAACGAGTCGTACCGCTCCGGCGCCACTTGGGAGTACGTCTCGCAGTCTCTCGAGCCTGGAATCGACTTTTTCACGTCGCTGAGCCACCCGTGGGGTGGTGCCCCTACCTACGCGCTGACCAACTACATCGCCGGCATTCGCCCGATGGAGTTCGGCTTCCGCCGCTGGATCGTGAACCCGCTGGTGACGGGGCTGAACATGACCAGCGCTAGCGCCACGGTGAACACCCCGTACGGCTCCATCAGCGCTGCTTGGGAGCTGGCCGACAACCAGCTCAGTGTGACGATTACTGCGCCGGTCGGTACGGACGGCGCCCAGTTCGTCGACGGGCATCTTCGAGCAGCATCTTGTCGGCACCGGCGAGGCCATCTCGATCGTCGTACAGCTGTAAGGAGGAAGCTGCGATAAGTTTTGGGGTAATGAATTGGATGTCACATTCTTCATTGGAATCCCTACACACATGTCTTGAGAACGTTGGAAGCTGGATAATGAGCTTCTCAGAGATAACTGCAACGATGAGGTTGCCACAACTTGAAGGTGTATCTGCATCGATTTGGATTGAATGTGCTGAAATATTGTAGTATGCATCTCTCTTCCTTCCTTTTGGACAGCGCGGACTGACTGGTCTCGATGAGTGGAAAGCTTGGCTCGTCCAAGCTGCCTCTTGACCCGCGCTGTCCGACTTCACCTCGCGTTCGGCTTTAGTCGCTTGCGTAGATCTACGCTCTTTTTCGATCCGCTGAGCCGAAGAAGCGTCAATAGTTTAGGACAAACATTGCCGGCCTTGCTTGTGCCAAGGCCGAACTGCAAATTCACAAGTTCTTTGATCGCACAGCTGCGTCGCTCATCCGAACATGCGGCGCTTGATCTCCGTGCGCAGCATACGCATCTCCAGCTGAGCTCCGCTCATGAGGCCCGAGTTCTCCTGGGCGCGACGGATGAGGTACGGCAGCACCTCATGGATGGGGCCGTACGGCACGTACTTGAACACCTTGTACGCGTTGGCGCCCAGAGTGTAGGAAACGTGGTCGCACATGCCGAGCAGCTGGCCGAAGTACACGCCACCTGTGGCGCGGCTGATGCCGATGTCCTGCATCTGCTGCACCGTGTTCACCACCGACTTCTCGTTGTGAGACGCCACCATGAAGCTGGCCAGGTTGTTGTTGCGCAGCAGCTTCGACACCTGGGCGTCGTAGTTGGCGTGCGTGTCCTCGATCGTGTCGTGGATCGGGTCGACGTATCCCTTGTCGCGGGCGCGCTTGCGCTCCTGCACCATGTAGGCGCCGCGCACCAGCTTGGCAGCGAAGCGGAACTTCTCGCGGCGAGCGCGCTCCAGGTCAATGTCGATGCGGTCGCTGGACATCTTGAGGTAGCACTGGAACGTGTTGTAGATGACGTCGGCGCCGTCGCGGTTGTACTTGCGCTGCAGGTTCAGCGTCAGGTGGTCGATGGCCGGCTGCATGTACGTCTGCTCGGCGTCCACCATGAGCTTTACGCCGCGCTCGGCGGCGTCGTTGGCCAGGGACTCGAGGCGGCCAATCATGTTGCGCAGCTGGGTCTTCTCGTTGTCCGAGAGCGGCTCCTCCTCGATAAACTGGGTCAGCGGGCCCATGGTCAGGTCGAACGGGTCGAGGAAGCTCACCCAGTCCACGTAGTCAATGACGCCGTCGCCCGAGGACTGGTCCAGCTCAGCGAAGAGCTTCTGGATCTCCTCCTCCGTGGCGTCCACGCCGGCGTTGCGGAGGCCGGCGCTCAGCGTCGGGTAGTCAATCATGCGCTCGAGGTAGCGCGACTTGGCGCGCGAGAGGTTGGGGCCGTCCAGCGTGTGGAACAGCAGCTGCGCCTGCACAATGATGGCGGACATGCGCATGAGCAGCTCGGGCTTGCCGAGCGCCGTGCACTTGATGGCCACGAACGCGGGCTCGCCGGCCGAGGCGGCCTCGCTGGCGTCGATGATGGCGTGGCGCGAGATGGCCGCGTTGGCGTCGCAGGCGGCCTCGCCGTCGTAGGCGTAGGTACGCGCGGACACGAGGTTCTGGTCCACGCCGTTGAGGTCGCGCGGCTGCTCGACGTCGGCCTCGGCGGCGAAGTCGAGGATGGCGCCGATGCCGGCGGACTCGAGCTTCTGGATGACGGGGCGGATCTCGTTCACGTCCTCGCCGGCGCAGAAGTGGCCGAAGAAGGTCGCGCGCAGCAGCGCGTCCGTGAACTTGGCGCCCGGGAACTTGTACGAGAGCTCGAGCAGCTCGCCGCTGTGCTGCACGAGGGGGCGGAACTGCGACATACAGTACACGGCGTAGGCGCGCACGAGCTCGGGCGTCGTCTTGGTGGCGAAGATGCGCTCCGTGTTCTGGAACTCGGTGGCCAGCGACATCTTCTTGCTCTGGTCCAGCGTCGAGTGCTCATGCGCGGCGGCGGGCGCCACGGCGGCCGTGGGCGCGGCCGACGAGCGCCGAGGCGAGGCCGACGACGCGAAGGGCGCGGCTGCCACCGAGCGCGGCAGCGTGCTGCGGGCCATGGCCGCGGCCGGTTTCGGCAGTCGCGAGGCGTGGCGGAGCATCATCTGGCAGTAGACGGGCGGCGAGGCTGCTGCTTGGAGGAGGCGACTTGAGCTCCACGAGGCGAAAAGCGTTGTGAGCTCCTCATCTTGCGGTGCACTGGGCCAGCCATGCTGGCATGATGCTCATGGCAGGTCCTCCCTCCTGTTGCCGTTTTGTGTATGATGAGCAGCGACAGGACGCTCTGCTTGAACTTCCATTGGCTCGCGAACGGTCGTGGAGTTAAAAAAAGGTCGCCTCAGAAACCATTCTCGAAGATATCCTGCTTTTCTGCATAGAACCGTTCTGCGGGATATCCCTCTCGTATGTTATGATCCAGTGTCATATGTGGTGTACACCACACTACGAGCTTTTCGACCAGGAGAACGTTCCGTGCAGGTATCCAAGGTTTTGACTGGAGCCAAGTGCCGGGGCCAATCCCCCCCCTAGTATACAAACGCCAAGGTCCTTAGGATAGCGAGCATGTCGACGGTGGTGGACCTGGACGCGCTGCGGGCGTCCGTGACGCGCCAGGGCGCGCAGGTGCGCGAGCTGAAGCAGAAGGGCGCGGCGGCCGAGGCAGTCAAGGCCGCCGTGGACGAGCTCAAGAAGCTCAAGCTGGAGCTGGAGACGCAGACGGCGCTGCAGGGCCCCGCCGAGGACGGGCTGAGCAAGAGCGACAAGAAGGCGCTGGACGACCTGCTGCTGCGCAAGATGTTCGTGGTGCCGAGCTTCGAGATCTACGGCGGCGTGGGCGGCTTCTACGACTTCGGCCCGCCGGCCTGCGCGCTCAAGAGCAACCTGCTGCAGTTCTGGCGCCGCCACTTCGTGTTCGCGGACAAGCTGCTGGAGGTCGAGTGCACCAACCTCATGCCCGAGGTGGTGCTCAAGACGTCGGGCCACGTGGACCGCTTCACGGACCTCATGGTCAAGTGCACCAAGTCGGGCGAGTGCTACCGCGCCGACAAGCTGCTCGAGGACCACGTCGAGAACTTCCTGGACAAGCACTCGGACCTGAGCCAGGAGGAGCGCGAGAAGCACGAGATGCACGCCACCATGGCCGAGTCGTACTCGCCCGAGGAGATCCACGAGGTCTTCCAGCAGTACGGCATCAAGGCGCCCGGCACGGGCGCGGACCTGAGCTTCCCCATCCCGTTCAACCTCATGTTCAAGTGCGCCATCGGCCCCGAGGGCGGCCTCACGGGCTACCTGCGCCCCGAGACGGCCCAGGGCATCTTCCTCAACTTCCGCCGCCTGCTCGAGTACAACGCCGGCAAGGTGCCCTTCGGCTGCGCGCAGATCGGCAGCGCCTTCCGTAACGAGATCTCGCCCCGCGCCGGCCTCCTGCGCGTGCGCGAGTTCCAGCAGGCCGAGATCGAGTTCTTTGTGAACCCCAAGGACAAGAGCCACGCCAAGTTCTCGACCGTCAAGGACCTGGAGCTGCCCCTGCTGACCAAGACGAACCAGCTCACACACGGCAAGGCCGTCCAGATGACGTGCGGCGCCGCCGTGGAGCAGGGCATCATCGCCAACGAGAGCCTGGCGTACTACCTCGCGCGTACGTACAAGTTCTGCAAGGCCATTGGCATCGACCTGGAACGCCTGCGTTTCCGCCAGCACCTGAACACGGAAATGGCCCACTACGCCACGGACTGCTGGGACCTCGAGATCAAGCTGAGCTCCGGCTGGGTCGAGTGCGCCGGCCACGCCGACCGCTCGTGCTACGACCTGACGGTGCACGCCAAGAAGAGCAAGGTGGAGATGGTGGGCACGCACAAGTTCGACAAGCCCGAGAAGCGCCAGATTGTGGAGATCAAGCCCAACAAGGGCAAGATGGGCCGCACCTTCAAGGCCGACGTGGCCACGATCCTCGAGGCGCTCGAGACGCTGAAGGACGACGTGCCGCGCGCGCAGGCTTTCGAGGACGAGCTGGCGTCCAAGGGCGAGGCGACGCTCGGCCCGCTGTGCGACGGCAAGCAGTTCACGCTGCAGCGCGACATGGTGGCCATCAAGGTGGTGGAGAAGATGGTGAGCGAGGAGAAGTTCGTTCCCTCGGTGATCGAGCCCTCTTTCGGCATTGGCCGCCTGCTCACGGCCGTCTTCGAGCACAACTTCTCGACCCGCGAGGGCGACGAGAAGCGCGGCGTGATGTCGTTCTCGCCCCTGATCGCGCCCATCAAGGTGTCGGTGCTGCCGCTGAGCAACAACCCGGCGTTCGAGCCGTTCGCCGCCGAGCTGGAGCACGTGTTCGTGGAGGAGGGCCTGGAGTGCAAGGTGGACACGTCGAGCGTGGCCATCGGCCGCAAGTACGCGCGCGCGGACGAACTGGGCATCCCGTTCGGCGTCACGATCGACTTCGACACGGTCAAGGACCGCGTGGTGACGCTGCGCGAGCGTGACTCGACGGCGCAGGTGCGGATCCCCATGGACGCGATCGGCGCCGAGGTGAACAAGCTGGTCAAGGGCAAGGCCACCTGGGAGCAGATCCTCGAGCGTTACCCGAAGGTCACCGCTGCTGCCGAGTAGGTAGGTTGTTCACGCAACCGAATAGATGCAGCAGCAGCAGCAACGGACGAATGAATGCGCACGGGGTAGCCCACTAGTGATCGTAATGCATTTGCTTTCACGTGACATTTTGACTCGGTATCCGCCACGGTACACGCTTTTCTATCAACTAAAGGAGCAAATTTGGCCGGCCAGACTTGGTGATCGTCCAAGTGCGAGCACGAAGACCTTTCTGGTTGAGATCATCCACGGCATATCGATCGTGTGGCGATGCTGCGAGCTTCAAGCCGCTGGGGTCTGCGACTTGTGCAGCCGACCTGCGCTGCGGCATGGCCGATCGCGCTCTCATTTCTGACGTCGCCGCGTCAAGATCGCATGGCTGCCTCGTCGCCAGTCATGAGATGGATACAGTGCATTACTTCCTTGACACCGGCATGCGGAGCCCGGGCTGTGCAACCGTACGTCGCCGAGGCGAACGTGCTCGTCAAAGCAAACGCGGTGCAAGAGATGCGGCGAAGATTAGAAGGGCCTAAGTCGGCAGCGCTCGTCAAAACATTTCGGGCCCGCGCCGATTGGAAGAGCTCGTGTTGTGTCTGGTTGGAGCCGAACCGATGGATGCGGGCCACCTCGGCGCTGCCGCGTGGACAGCAGACCACCCACCATGGTTACGGCACGCAAGCGTCTCGGCCCGAGGCTCTCGGGTACGACACTCGACCCCCGAAGAGAGAAGACGCCCTAGAGCGAGTCAGCACGCCTGCTGCGCTGCCACGCCGGTGAACGTGGCAAGAGTTCATTGTCGCGCCGGACTGAATTTGCTGGGTAAAGCTTGCCTACTGTGGTGTGCGCAGTGGTTTGGACACGAGGACGGTCGCAGCAGGCTGTACAAGTCCAGCATTGCATTTTGAGGCACGGTGACAAGTCCAGCATTGCGGCTCTATCTATTTGTACAAAATCTTCGGCAGCACAAAGCTGCCATCGCGCTTCGTTTCCATTGCGGTGGTCTCCGCAAGCCATCCAACAATGTTTCGGATACCGCGCGCGAAATAATTCGTCGAATCGATGGCAACGTTGAGGTCGCGTTGTTGAGGCTCAACTTGAGCGTTGATCGACATGTGCCATGCACCATGGATACCTCGATGCAGGAGCGCATTGAGGAGAAAATCACTGCTGCAAGTGATTGAAGTGGCTTTGGAATCGTTCTCCAATCCAGCGCAGCTGGATGAGTGTGGAATTTCAATACGCCAAACAAATCTCGTCCGGTTCGGCAACTGTGTGAAAGGAGCCAAAATTGGTTCTTCAACAATACCAGTAATCCGAAATCCGAGAACGCGTTAATGGTCGATCAAAGCTGCTATGACTGGAATATTATTCTATGCACTGGTGTGGAGAGTGTTTCTAGCTGGCCTAATGCTGCGATGCTCACAGCCGATGCTACGAGCTCGTTGTTGCCCGGAGAGCCGAGGAGAAGACAAAAGCGACCGTCAATCTTTCGACCTTGTCGCCACAATCGACGGGTGTTTGGCTCGACCTGCGCATCGTTTACTGCTTCGCTGTCTGCATTTGCCTCCTCGTCCCTTTCCGGCGTTTCTTCATCGTCGGACTCAGCACCTAGCAGCTTCGCGCCTTCGAGGACAACAACATCGGCGATCGAGTCTTGATCGGCTTCGTCCTGGTTGGCGTACGAGCTGTAGCTCCCCTCCGCCTCATCTTGATCTTCCTCCTCGTCCGTGTCGTACGCTTGAACACCGGTGCTTAGCTCAGTCGCTTCGTCGTCGTTGTATTCCTCTTCGTCGCCCTCGCTGATGTTCTCGTCCTCCCAACTCGTTCGGCGCGGAAGAAACTCGCGAGGTGAAGTAGCCAATCCGTTGGAGGCTTGCCTGGTGCCACTCTGACTCGCGGAGCTTGCGGCATGCTCCAGCACTGGGAACACAATGATCTCGTTGCCGAACAAGTCCACGTCCAGCTGAAGAAACGCCAGCAGACACTCAGCGAAAGTGTACTGGTCGCTAATGCACTTGTCCGCCAGTCCAACGCCCGCTTTGGTTTGACTCGGCAAGGCTTCGATCCGTTCCAACAACGAGTTGACTCGCTCGGGTGGAAGCCTCCGACTCGAGGAGTAGCCCGAGTTGGCATTATAGACGCTCACAACTAGGCTGTAATCGATGTCCTGGATCAACTTCCGCCGACTCTGCTGATGCGACCAAGTCTCAGTGTAACTCGTGTCCTTAGCGTTATCAAGCGCGACTTCAGCAAGGAGGTATGCGTTCCTCCAGATCAACCCGGACTGGATCAGAATCGTCGCTCGTATCGGGTGAGTGAACAACTGCGACGTTGAGTGCGGGAGTTGCTGTCTTGACCGCTTCTTCTCCAGTGTCGCTGCACCCCACGGCCGACTCGAGCACGGATAGAGGAGCGTGTTCACGTGCGAGTTAACGATCAGCTCGTCCCTCAAACTGCCAATCTCGTCGCCACAGGGAACGGAAATGACGTGGAGGTGCTGAATGGCAGCGACTATCGCTCGATCCATGCTCAGTACACGGTGCTGATCCCGCCACGAGTCGAACAGAATGGTGCTGTAGAGATCGTCGATGGCTACTTCAACTCTGAGAGCTGAACTGCACGGCTCAGAGGACTCGGATGACGCCGTGCACCGTGACGGAGGCAGCTTCTCCGTGACTTGAAAACTGACCATGAGTCCTGATGTCCCCGTTGTTCGAACATTCTTGGCTGCCCCGCGACTTGTGGGGTAGCTTTGGGGTGGACAGGTAGATGCAAATACGTGCAGTCTTCTCTTGTTGCTTGATCCGGTAGTGCGACCGGTGTATTGTGTGTCATCGCTCTCCAACTCGACGGTTTGGTGCACACAGAACGCCACGAGACCTGGCGACGCATCGAAGCGCATCGCTTGGTCGGATCTCCTTGCAACGGAGGGGGCGAGGAAGATCATCTCACCCTGGTCAGCTCCAAGCAGGGCGAAGTTGATGTGATCGCAGATGTTGCGTGCGATTTCCTGCATGGACAAGTTCGTCCCCGCGGCGGCGGCGGTCTCGGCCGCTAACAACGACGAGCTGCTCTTGTCCAGGAGCTCGTGTGTCATCTCCTTGGTGATGCTCAGCTTGTACTCGCACTGCAACTCGCGCTGGTACGCGAAGACGTCGAATCCGTACGGATTCGTGACGCCATCTCCACAGAACACCGTCAAGACCAGATAAGTGCCGCCCACGAAGCGCCCGGTCTTCAGTAGCTGGTACTTGGCGTCGCCCGAGATCTCGTTCTCCGCTTGTCTATCATGGAGGTCCCCGATGAACTTGGTCGCCGCGACTGCAGTGGAGCTTCGATGTGGCAGACTGCGACCCATAGTGCTTTCATTGAAGTGGTCGTCGACGCCAGGGCTGCTGGGGCAAGTGTTCCGTCCCCTAGGCGACGACAAGAGATCATTGCTTACACTCGAGCTGAAATCGGTTGATCCACCGGCATTGATGACACTGTGTGGCGAAGAAATCGGAGGGAGCGACGGCTGCTGGGGCATCGCCTTCCGAAGCGACCGGAAGGCAGGGGTCATGTTCAACTGCAGTTTCTTGGGGGATGTCGGGATTGACTTGATGGGGTGGGCAACCACCGGGATGCTGGGCAGTGGCTCCGTTCGCGTGGTGGGTTTCAAGAAGCTTGGTCGCCTCGGCGATGGGCCGAAGCAGTTCCGGCTGTCGTTATCGTCGTGGTGTTGCTTGTGGGTGCTCGTAGGAGAAGCCAGGACGTCCGCTGCGACTGGAAACTCGCTGATCGAGGCCAGGTAGGACAGATTTTGCTGCCATTCGCGCCGAAGATCGTCGTTTCGATAGTGGGCAACACTTTTCCGGATGCGCTCGAACACTTCGGCGTTGTCTGCCTTGATCTCCTTCAGGCGCCTCGCACGGAACGACCCGTTCAATGATTTCTTCCTCGAGTCTGCTGGCGGTGGGGCCAATTTACCAGCGAGCTGCTTGCTGGAGCCGAAGCCAGGAACGGGCGCCACTCCCCGGAACTCGGCCATTTTCGCCAGTGAGTGCTGAAACTCGTCCAGCGCCTGACTCTGCTGGCCTGCGTTGGTCTTTTGACAGTCACCGCTGAGCACCAATGTTTCGCTGAGAGTCTCGTTATCGCTGGGTTTCTCTTGATGCTGTGGCTCCAGGTCTCCTGAAGAGGCTGAAATCGCGAGTGAGCCACCAGAACTCATCGGTGGATCGCCATTCACGCAGGTAACGGAGGAAAAGCTGCCAAGCATCGATTTTGGCGGCCTCGGGCGGAAAGAGGCGGCTGTCCGGGACGCTGCTGGCTTGGGGATAATACCGCAGAGATACGACTTGACCCCATCGATCTTCCGTCGGTGAAGCTCCTGCGCCTTCTCCACCTCGCGAGCTCGACAGATTTTACTGCTGGACTTCTCGGCCCGATGCATGATGCTACGGCGATGGCTTCACCCGTCGAAAGAGGAGCAGAGATACTACTTTGAATGCAAAAGACGATGTTCTCACTCCAGCGTACGCAGATGTATCACGAGCTACACCACCAATGGTCCAGCTTAGATCATGAACGCGAGCTCTTCTTCGACGGCAGCTGAGTCGCAAAGCGCGAGGGTGGAATGTCAGTCCGACATAAATACTCGTTGAAGACGTTTACAGCATAAGAATAGCTTCGTCTGAACTGGTATCCACAGTTTGAATGTTCCTGTCCTTTTTCAGCTCTCCCATCAGATAGATGATCTCAACGTGGTACATGTTTCTTTAGTCCGCGAAATACCGATCTTCTGCGTCACGCTGGATCGCGACAAAGTCGTCCAGCCTCTCATCGGCGTCGATCTCGGCGTAATTCACATACTCGCCGTCCTCACCGTTCAGGAACCGGGTGCTCATGACCTCGATGAGTTGCTGGCGCCTCTGCGCCACACTGTACGCATTCAGTTCCTCTTCGTCGTCTTCACCCTTATCATCTTCCTCCTCTTCAACGACGTTGTCCTCCTCGTACAGGCGCTCCACTCGAGCCTTCTCCTGCTTCTCGTCGGCCGCGGTGAACTTGCCCCACGTTTCCTGCTCAGCCACGCGCCGCGCCTCCATCTGGCTGCGTTGGCAAGTGTCCATTAGGAAGGAGGACAACTTCTGTCCTCCATTGTCTGCGGTAGTTGCAGTTGGACCCTTTTCGAGAGCAAGATACTGCCCCAGGTAGAAGTGGAAGAGCGCGGGGCTGCGCTGCTGCATCATGGCGTCCGAGAAGTACGCGTCCTCCCCCTCACTCTCGTCCAGTAGCTGCTGCAGACGCCGGTAGCGGCGGTTCTTCACCACGACAGCGGGGCCGCCCGAGGCACTGCGGCTATTGGCGTGCTGCTCAGCCCGCGCCTGCGCCATCGACATGGTCGCGTCCTGCCCCGACGGCAGCTCCAGGGACGCCATGTAGACGTCCAACGAGTCCACGTCCTCTGCGCTCATAGTCGGCCACGGACAGAGATGCGAGCAGCTACTGTGCTGAAATGATATTACCAAATGAAGCGCAAATGTATCCGACAAAATGGTCCTTCAAAATGCTGACCAACTTGTCCTTCCTTACAGCTGAATGGTGATGGAGGTGGCCTCGCCTGTGCCGACAAGGTGCTGCTCGTAGATGCCCGTCGACGAACTGGGTTGAGCAACCTCAAAAGTGCCGTCCGTGCCCACCGGCGCAGTAATCGTCACACTGAGCTGGTTGTCGGCCAGCTCCCAAGCAGCGCTGATGGAGCCGTACGGGGTGTTCACCGTGGCGCTAGCGCTGGTCATGTTCAGCCCCGTCACCAGCGGGTTCACGATCCAGCGGCGGAAGCCGAACTCCATCGGGCGAATGCCGGCGATGTAGTTGGTCAGCGCGTAGGTGGGGGCACCACCCCACGGGTGGCTCAGCGACGTGAAAAAGTCGATTCCAGGCTCGAGAGACTGCGCGACGTACTCCCAACTGGCCCCGGTACGGTAGGACTCGTTCGAGATCATGGCGTCCCAGAGGTTGTCCAGCAAGAAGACGACCTGGTCCGTGTATCCGTGCTGCAGCAGAGCGTCGAGCAGGAACCCGTTCGTGTTCGGGGAGATTTCAGTGGTGTTGGCCGTGGAGCTCGAGTCGAGGAACCCGGGGCCTTGACGCAGACCCTCCAGACCTTTCACGCACAGCTTGACTTGAGTCTCGTTCGCTACTCCAGAGGTGAGAGCGAACGCAGTGGCCGAGACGCCGTACACATCAGGAGTCGAGACATCCACTGCGTAGTTGCCCAGCGTATCGTTCCAGAGCAGCTCGTTGATGGCGGTCTTGACGCTGGCAGCAGTCTCGACCCACGCGTTCGCGGACTCCCAGTCGCCTACAGCACGGGCCACCCTGGCCATGCCATCAAGACACTGAACAGCGGCAGCGTTCACAGCCATACCGGCTCCGGGCCCGAGGAAGACCACCGTGTAGGGCGTCAGGTCGATGAGTCCGTTGCTTCCTTGGCAACCCACGAGCCACGTCATGGCGCGAGTCAACTCTTCCCAGTGGGCTTCGACGAAGGCGACACCGTCGTAGTAGTCCATGTACGATTCCAAGCCGATGAGGCCGAGGATCACGTAGTCCGGGAAGTAGTAGTTGGCATTGGCTGTCCCAGAGTTGAAGAGGAAGACCTCAGGGGTGGGCATCGGCGATTGATACGAAATGGGGACGAAGCCAGGAAGCTGGCCATAGTCCGCTTGGTACTCAAACAGGAACTCCCACGTGCCGGTGATCTGCTCAGGCTTGGAGTTGGCAACGCCCATGATGCGCGTCGTGTGGTAGAAGTCGCCCAGCCAAATGTACCGATCGCGCTTGGCGCCATCCAGACATGCGCCGTACGTGTTGCTCTGGCCACCGAATTCTGGCACCACCACGCTCTCATCCGTCATCGGGTTCGAGTAGAGCACTTCGGACGAGTCCGTGAGGCTCGTGACCGTCACATTCTTCACGTAAGAGGCCTGGTCCTGCCAACCGCCGAAGCCGATCGCGCCTTCACCACGCGAAGCCCAACCGTAGAACGAGAGCTGGTCATCCGTGAAGCCCATTTCAGTCAGCACAATGTCGAACACTTGCTGTCCGTCGATGGAGAAGACAATGTTGCCGGCCGTCGAGTTGACGCGGATTTCGACAGGATACCAGACGTTCTCCTTCACGGTGAACGGCACGTTGTACTGGCCCAGGATGTAGCTTGTCATGCTCGTAGCGTTGGCAAAGTCGTAGCCCCAAGCGAGGGTCGCAGTGTTGGCGGGGAAGAGTGTGGTGTTGGTGTTGATGTACGTCGTATCGCTCGGGTACTCGGACGCCAGGTGGATCTGGACGCCGTCACGGTTGCCCGTCAGATCGTACGCAATGGTATATCCTGCGCCTCCGCGGATGATCTGCGACTCAAAGTTGAGCACGTAGTTGGTCAGGTTCCACGTCCGGTAGGAGATACCGGGACGCGTGCCAGGCACGAAGGTGCCGTTCTCCTCGGACGAGCTCCAGGACGGCAGCTGGCTACCGGCATCCAAACAGGCAGCGGTGATAGCACGAGCACCCAGCTTCCAGATCTCGTCGTACTTGGCGTTCGAGCTTGAAAACTTGCCCGGCAGAGTGGTGAGGTCGTCGATCACCTCGATCGAGGCCTGAAGGCCGACCTTCTCGAACGTGATGGAGTCGCCAGTGAGCAGACGCAGTGACTGCCACCGTTCACCGGGCTGGCTGAGCATGGAGGTGATCGTTGCCCCGACGTCGCTGTCCGTGAAGCGGTGAGTCTCAACGCGACGCGAGTTGGCGATGGACGTGGTGAACTGCGACGGACCATCCGAGTAGTTGAGCGAAAGCGCCGGAAACTGCTCCGAGTACTTGACTTCGACGTCTACGGGTCCATTGGAGACGGAGGACACGACGAAGTACGGCCGGCCCGCCACTTCGTAGTCGTAGTCAAGCGTGGCCAGCGGTGCGTCTGACGAGAGCGTGAAGCCGCCCGAGTAGGTCTGTCCGTCCATGGACGGCGCGGAACCCAGCGCGATCTTCTTGGGTGTGAACACTCCGTACTTGTCGAGGTTGTCGGCGAGACACACAGCGGCTAGCGCCGGTGCCAGCACCAGTGCAACGCCGAAGCTACGCATAGCGCTTGGATGAAGTGGAGTACAGGACTTGTGCTCTGGTCGGCGAAATCGATACTGTAATGAACTGACCGCGAAACCAGCGGCGGGAAGTCGCAGACCGGGACCTCACTGGGGTCACCTCAAAAGCATCAGCGAGATCGCGGTAATCGGTGGTGTTTATGGTAGAATATCATCAAATCTCCGACCGCACTTAAGATGATAGGTATACAAATCCCCAGTCAAGCGCGGTCGGAGCATAACAGTATTACCCTACCCCTTCCCAAAGTGTTATGCATACACAGTCCAAGATAGATTAGTCGTCCCGTTTGCTCATTGGTCGGAGCCTTGGGATGGATGGCACGGAGCGAGCGTAGCGAGCCCGCCTGCGGTTTGACAGTCCGTGTGCGTAGCACGCGGCTGCAAACCCAGGACCCAGCAGTGCTCTACCTAGCAAGCGGAGGCGACGCGTGCGAGCCGCAGCGGGCTTAGGGTTCTGGCCCAGCGAGCGCAGCGAGCCTTTAGGGGTTTTAGGTTCGCGCGTAGCGCGTAGCTGGGTGATAGTTAAAGGTGACCCCCCTCCTATCCGCATGTTTTGTGTACGAGTCGGAGAAAGTCGGAGGGTCGGAGGCTTTTGGGTATGGTTGAACTTTCAGCTCCAAGTGTTACAGTTGATGCTGCTGGGTGTCAATAACGACATCAACTGATACCTACCAGGTAGTTTACATGTAATCGATGGAGGTCGAAGACTTCGGGCGAAACGCATTCCTGGGCTTCGGAGTTTGGTTGGCATCTCTCCTCTCGTGGAGGTTTTGCCGCAGACCATCTTGGAGTCATGCGCGACCAAGTCGAGCTGCACATAATCCGACGTCCACCACTTCAAGTTACACAGTAGTTGAAGTCCTGCGTGCAGGATCAAGCAATTCGCGTTGCATACTTGTCGCTCTCGAATCGATCCACATCGCGTTGCTATTTGATTAGTGCGTCCGAAGCTGTGGGCGTTTCTACCTGTACGTGCACGCGCCTATGGCTCTCGTTTGAACGTCTATCAACGATTATATTGCGGCTTGCATTAGATACTGTGTCTGACAACTAGTTGGCGGTCGGCTCGGCGGCGGCGCGTTTGCGTCGCTTGGCGACGGCTTCGGCGAGCTCCTTCAGCGTCGTGACAGTGTCGTCCCAGTTGATGCAAGCGTCCGTGATGCTCTTGCCGTAGACGAGCTTGGACGGGTCGTCGCCGAGGGACTGGTTGCCCTCCACGATGTTGGACTCGATCATAACGCCCAGCAGGTTGGTGTTGCCCTCGGCGATGATGCCGGCCAGGTAGCTGGCCACCTTGGGCTGGTTGGAGTGGAGCTTGCGGGAGTTGCCGTGCGAGCAGTCCACCATGATCTTGGACGGCTGCTTGGCCTTGACCAGCATCTCGGCCGCCTCGTCAATGTACTGCTGCTCGTAGTTGGGGCCGCTGGAGCCGCCGCGGAGGATCACGTGGCAGTCCTTGTTGCCCTTGGTGCGCACAATGGACGCGAGGCCGTGCTCGTTGAGCCCCAGGAAGTTGTGCGGCTGCGACGAGGCCACGGCAGCGTCCACCGCCACCTTGGCGTTGCCGCCCGTGCCGTTCTTGAAGCCCACCGGCATCGACAGGCCGCTCGTCAGCTCGCGGTGCAGCTGCGACTCCGTAGTGCGGGCGCCGATGGCTCCCCACGAGATGAGGTCCGACGTGAACTGTGGCGAGATGGTGTCCAGGAACTCGAGACTCACGGGCAGACCCAGCGCGTTGACGTCCAGCAGCAGCTTGCGGGCGATGCGGATGCCCTTGTTGATGTTGAACGACTGGTTGAGGTCCGGGTCGTTGATGAGCCCCTTCCAGCCCACGGTGGTGCGCGGCTTCTCGAAGTACGTGCGCATGATCACCAGCAGCTCGCCGTCCAGCTCGTCAGCCAGCACCTTGAGGCGCTTGGCGTAGTCCATCGCGGCGTCCACGTCGTGAATGGAGCACGGGCCCACGACCACCACGAGGCGGTCGTCCTGGCCGTGCAGGATGCGGGACACGGCGTCCCTGGTGGCGTCCACCAGCTCGTGCACCTCAGGAATGACGGGAAGCTCCTCCAGCACACAGGCCGGCGGCACGAGCGGCTTCATGGCGATCACGTTGCGATCCTGCAGGCGCTGGCGCTTCACGGCACGCTCGGTCTCAGGCTCGGGGTTCGGCTGCATTGTGGATCGATTTGACATTGACTTGACAGGTGCGGGGCAAATTCAGGAATGAGCAACTTCGATATGCTGTGCGTAGGTAGATTGACTTGACAGCCACAAGAACGCCCAAGCAGCAATTGTGGCCCCCCCGGGGCATTAATTTGTGGCCCAGGGGGTGCACAATTTTGCGCGATTTTAGTGGCAGATCGGAGTGGACAGCAACTGATGAGACAACAGCATAACAGCACGACTTGACAGATCGGCGATCCCGGTCCGTTCGTTGCATCGTGGTGGCAAAAATACTCACGGCGGGACTTGAACCCGCAATCTCTGCCTTAGGAGGGCAGCGCCGTATCCATTGGGCCACGCGAGCAGCTTGGGGCAAATGTTTATTACTCCACCATGAGTTAGTGTTAAGCTGCTAGACGTTTGCAATTCTCGTGACAGTGGGTGTTTTACTGCAGGCTCTGGAGCGCTATCACCGGTACCGCGTCAAGGGCGAGGGACCTTATGAGCACGTTGAACCTATCAACAAACGCGGCACTTGCTTGTGTTCGCGACAATGTGAGCAACTTGCATTGTAGCCATGCAGCGAGCACAGCACCCTTGTGTATGTGTGACTAAACAGTCGACAACGCCGACGTAAGCGACGCACTCGCAACCAGGCAAACGAGCAACAGACAACCAACTCGAGCTGATCATCTTGCTGAGGGGAGGTATTGCTGTTCGATACCTGCGAGGGGAAAATACCACTGGAACAGCAATATTGTAGAGCAATCTACAAGTATCCATGTACTGGTCCAGGAACGTAAAATGTATTAGCTCTAACTATGCCACAACATGATATAAGAGTGTGTATGACAGGTGGACCCTCAATCAGGAGTACTCATGAGCAGCATGCGCGGTAGGCTTGGCAATGCCACATGCCAAGTTGGCATGTTCCGGTGCGGGCGACGTCAACTCGCATCCCCGTAAGCACAACTGGTGGCAGGATTTTCACCCGAAAAAGTACTCACGGCGGGACTTGAACCCGCAATCTCTGCCTTAGGAGGGCAGCGCCGTATCCATTGGGCCACGCGAGCGCGCATAGTTACCCACGCGCCGCGCGTCCACCACAAAGTTCACAAGGTGGTGCAAAAAGCACGTCCATGTTCATGTAGCCACCTTCAAAATTGCACCCCGGGGATACAATTCCCGGACCGGCGGTAAAAGTACGAATTCGTGTGGCGTACACTACGCATATGGGTCCACGAGCGCTCCCACGTCAGTCATTTCACGGTTTGGGCAATCCTAATTGAGCTCTTCACTTTAGAACTCCGCGTGTGTGGCCACGTACACGTAGCCCCCTCCACTGCCCCCCTCCTTCATTTAACCCTCCACCACCATGAGCACCTTCGGCCGCTTCTTCCGCGTGACGACCTTCGGCGAGTCGCACTGCAAGGGTGTGGGCTGCATCGTGGACGGCGTGCCGCCGTCGCTGGCGCTGACCGAGGCCGACATCCAGCCGCAGCTCACGCGCCGCCGCCCCGGCCAGAGCAAGCTCACGACGCCGCGCGACGAGAAGGACCTGGTGACCATCATGAGCGGCACCGAGAAGGGCTTCACGCTCGGCACGCCCGTGGCGCTCTTCGTGCCCAACGAGAACGTGCGCCCCAAGGACTACAAGGAGATGGACCAGGTGCCGCGCCCCGGCCACGCCGACTACACGTACCAGATGAAGTACGGCACGCGCGCCAGCAGCGGCGGTGGTCGTGCCAGCGCCCGTGAGACCATCGGCCGCGTGGCCGCCGGCGCCGTGGCCGAGAAGTGGCTCAAGGAGAAGTTCGGCACGTCCATCGTGTGCTGGGTGAGCTCCATCGGCTCGGTCGACATGCCGCGCGAGCTGCTGAACGACCCCAAGAAGGCCATCTACACGCGCGAGGACGTGGACACCATCGGCTCCATCCGCATCCTGCGCGACCCCGCCAAGTGGACCAAGGTTGAGGACGCGGCCCAGCAGCTCGAGAACGACAAGGCGTACGACGCCGAGTTCGTCAAGGCCGAGGACGACCTCGCCACGCCCGCGTACATTGACACGGAGAAGGTCGTGTACAACCGCAAGGGCGACGTGGTGCCCGCGCCCGAGAACCTGGACGCCTGGCTCACGGACGACCTCATCCCCGTGCGCTGCCCGCACCCGCCGTCGGCTTGCGCCATGTCCACCGTTGTGCGCACCATGAAGGTGGACGAGGACTCGACCGGCGGCGTGGTCACGTGCGTGATCCGCAACGCGCCCGTGGGCCTAGGCGAGCCGTGCTTCGACAAGATGCAGGCTGTGCTGGCGCACGCCATGATGTCCATCCCGGCCACCAAGGGCTTCGAGATCGGCTCGGGTTTCTCGGGCACCAGCAAGCGCGGCTCGGAGCACAACGACCCCTTCTGCGCCGGCTCGGAAGCCGAGCGCCCGGAGAAGCTGGGAGTGACCAAGAACGACGCTGGCGGTGTGCTGGGCGGTATCACCAGCGGCGCCGACATCTACTTCCGCGTGGCCATCAAGCCCGTGTCGACCATCGGACGCGCGCAGCCCACCGTCAGCTACGACGGCAAGGACACTGTGCTGGAGGCCAAGGGCCGCCACGACCCGTGCGTGCTGCCTCGCGTCGTGCCGCTCGTGGAGGCCATGTCGGCTCTCGCCATCGCCGATGCTGCCATGATTCAGCTGGGCCGCGAGGGCAGCATGCAGGACGAGCCGGCGCACAAGAAGCGCAAGCTGTAAGTCAATTCAGCGTGAAGTGGTCTGCGTCGATACCTCATAGATAACGCTACGAGCGAACTCAAAAAGCATTTTCATTATGATACTTATGCAAGATGCATGCGATACTCCAGTTCTCTGAATTACGGCCAGCAGCTTCGGCAACTTTGCAAACACTTCGTGTGGCATGCCGACCAGTTCATTTGGCAGCAACGAACGCCGCAAGCCGGTGGGAATATGTAACCTGCAGGTGCATGGGGAAGCACCGCCGCTTTGGCTGCTAGGGTCTCCTTCTTCATCTCTCCCTCCCTCCCTCACTCTCCTCGTCTCGATCAATACCCGACTCATCAGCTACACCCAGCCTCTCTCCGCCCCGCCGTTTTGATGGAGTATAACGTGCCACCACTGCGAAGAACTGCAGACAAACTCTGGACGACACGCGCCCCACAGCGGAGGGCCGGAGAGAGGCGACGCCCCAGCTTGATCTTGGCGATTTTTTTTCGGCTACGAGTAGCTCACCTCACAGGCGGCATGGCGACACTTCGTTTTGCGCCCGGCGCTTGTTGTACGACGTCTCTCCGTGTTTCTTCATAGCAGCAGGCGACAAGGCATCTTCACAGGATAATTGAGCGATGGCGCACGCCACCAGCAAGCCTAAATAAGCGACGACTCATTGCTCAGCACCCAGACGATGTTCGAGGCCTTCGTGTCGACGCGTGTTTTGTCCCCCTTCACAAACGCGAGGCCAGACTGGCGGATGAACGCTTTTCCTGCCCTGCCTTCGAGCTTGAGCTCATCGCGAATGTACTGCACAGGGAGAGTTGGTCGATACCTACGCAAAACAAAACACGAACGTCAGAAATCATTCAGCCCTGGAAACAACACGGTGACACTTCAACGTACGCTTTGCACATGGCTCGAAGAGCGCTAAGCCGGATCGCGGGGACCATTACGTCCATCAGGTAACCTGCCATATTCGGAGCATCTACATAAAGTTTGAAAAAACGATGGTAATCATTCATAGCAACCGCCTGGCGCACTGCCAGCGCATGGGCGATCGCCGGGTCGGCACGCAGCTTGGCCGTCACCATGCCCAGCACGTGGTACATGCCAAGCTGTCCCGCATTCGAGTCGCCCTTCTTGGCTTGCAGAGACACGTAGACACAATACAAGATGCGGTACGCGAGGAACTCGATGGCCTCGCCTGGGATGAGCTTCTCGTACAGCTCGTGGAGCTGCGTCTGGCACTGGTTGAACTCGTTGATATCGCCGGACTCGAGTGCTACCCGCGCGTGGGTCTCGTACACAGCGACCGTGAACTCGTTCTTGATATGCTGGACTGTGCAATCCTGGCGAATGGACTTGAGCTGGCTACAGGCATAAATATAATCGTGATCACCCTTCTTCCACTTCGACTTGACGAGTTCCAGCGCCTTGTGCAGCACCGGCTCGGGTCGCACCGTCGACGGATGCGGGGGAGAGGTTAATCGCAAGTATTCCTTTTCAACCGTCTGACTAGTACCTTTGATGACCATGGCGGCGAGGTCCAGGTCTCCGTCCTGCGTCAGCACCTGCAGCTTCTTCGTATCCACCTCGGGCGTCACTAGGCTCTTGAGTTCCTGCTGCGTCATGTGGAACCGCTGTTTCCTCTGATTCTTGCGCTGCACGTCCGCAGCCTCGATCTCGAAGCCGTCGTGTTTGCGCTTGTTCGCCTTGTTCTTCTTGGCCGAAGGCTCTTTGAACGGAACAAACCCCCGGTTCGACTGGAAACTGCCGTTACTAGGCGAAGGCGCAGCGAACCTATTGGCCGCTCCCGGCATGGGCCCACCCATGCCCACCTTGGCCTGCATGGCCGCCGCCGGCGTGTCTCCAACCAGCACCGGCAGCGGTTCCGCCGTCCAGTTCTTCGTCCACAGACTGTTGGTCATGATGGCGTTCGTGATCATCTCCTTCAACGAGTTCTGGGTAATGCTCTGGTCCGCCGCGCCCTTGCAGCGCGCAAACGCGCGCTTCACGTAGTCGTGGAGCGCGTCGGGCCACTTGGCGTTACCTCCCATGGGCGAAGCCGCAGCCGGGGCCGCGGGCTTCGGCGCAGCTGAGAAGGCCGCAGGCGGCGGGCCGAAGTTCCTGGGAGGGGGCCCTCTGCTCTGGGGACTGATATTGAACCTCACGAGTGCTGCATTGGCCGGGGCCGACGTCTGCACGCTGCCGCCGTTGCTCCACTGCCACTGGGACGCCGAGGGCGGCGAGGACGACGGGGGCGCCTGGCCTGGAGCTGGACGAGGCGGCGGCCGCATCATCGGCGGCGGGCCGCGCCCGTTAAAGGCGAACTGCGGCAGCGGTGGCCGAGCAAAACCGTTGGCGAGGTGCGGAGGCCGCGGGGGCGGGGGCCCTCTGGGGCCGTTGAACATGCCGGGGCGAGGCGGCGGCGGCCCAGTGGGCGACTGGCCGGGGAAGAACTGCTGCTGCTGGTGGTGGCCGGGGCCCGAAGGCGACGCGTAGAAGGACGAGTAGCCGGCGAAGCGCGCGGCGGCCGCCGCTGCGGCCTGCTTGGCTGCGAGGCCGCCGCTCTGCGTCGCGACATGGGGAGGGTTGGACGTCATGGCCTGGCGCTCTTCCTGCTTCCTTTTGCTATTCTGGCCCGCTCGCCGCAAGTTGACGTATAGTGGAGTGAAGTAAGAGCGACATACGCAATATGATTGGTGGTTAAAATGGAGCTGGTCACATATATAGCCAATCAAAGAGCGTCTGGAGTCCGCTGGAGCAACGCCTCGCACTTCCTGATCAAAGAGACTCGAATCCCGATGGTGATGACGACGATTGTGCGCCGAGTGGCCCGCTCCGCTGTGCGCGGCAGCCAGCGCGCGCTTGCCGCCCGCGCGGCTCCCGCCGTGGCCTCGCAGCTGCAGCTGCTGGCCCAGCAGCCGCGCTTCTTCTCGGCCAAGAGCGGCGACGACGGCTCGCACTCGGACTTCCAGCCGCAGTACCACGCGGCCAAGTCGACGGAGAAGGACGAGATCCTCAAGATGATCGAGAGCCATGTCAAGACGTACCCCATCATGCTCTACATGAAGGGCACGCCCTCGGCCCCGCAGTGCGGCTTCAGCATGCAGGTGGTGCGCATCCTGCACGCGCAGGGCGTGAGCTTCGACAGCGTCAACGTGCTGGACCACCCGGAGATCCGCGAGGGCGTCAAGGAGTACTCGTACGTGGCTGTCTGTCTACAATGGACGGACTTGGAGGCGGCAGAGTGTATTAACTGACTTTTTTGTTCCACGTGGGTATGTTGCTGCAGGCAATGGCCGACGATCCCGCAGCTGTACGTGAAGGGCGAGTTCGTGGGCGGCTGCGACATCATCACGGACATGAGCAAGTCCGGCGAGCTGGCCGAGCTGCTGGCGGAATTCAAGAAGAACTAGACTCAGCACACGCACAAAGGAGAAAGACGTCGGAACAGCAGAGGCTGCCATGTCAGGCAGGTCCAAGCCTCTCCTTCCTCTGGTGGCTTGGTGTTCGGGTGTACAAGTTACAGCCGTGAGCGCATGCGTACCAGCGAATGGAATGACAATGTAATGATACGTCTGCCTCCCTATAATTCGCAGCATACCGCAGTCACTTCACTATAGTTACTATACTGGAGTCGGCTTGTTCACGTCGTTGACCGCCCCGCGGGTGGTGCATTGCGTCTACGAGTTCAGATCGAGTTCCGCCGCTGGATCGTGAAGCCGCCAGTCACCGACCGAAAGCGCCACCAATAGCACCTGCGGCTGTTTGCGAGCTCGTGACCGACGGCGGTCGAAATGGACGGAGGTCTCTCCGCGAAGGGCATCTACGACGAGCACCTTGTTATTGTACTGATGCTTTCACTTCATCTGCAATCTTCACTGAAGACATGATACCATTCTGCGCACACCTACGAGCCGGGCTCCTGGGCTCTTGGGTGAACCCAAAAAGTCGCGAGCTCGGGCTCCTGGGCTCTTGAGTTCAATAGGTTAAGTGAAAGGAGCCCTCCAGAACTGTGAGCCCTCGTTAAGGGCTCCCCCTCACCTGTGTTAAATATCTCGCTGATGATTGGCCGTCATTGAAGTATCTCCAGGTTCTAACCTGAAAAGACATAGGAAAGAGGGCTTCTCCTTGAGGGGAAGGAAGGACGATCGGCGACGCTGGGGTGGCCTCGGAGCGGCTGTACACATATGAGCGGCGCGAGATCTGCTAGTGTGGCGATCTTTGAGCTCGATCTTCTAGCGTGGCGCATCGATCACGCGAAGTTGCTCGCCTTAAGTCTAGGTAAAATTGGCCAATCAGATATTACTATGAAGAGCCCGTCATAGATTTGAAGCTAAATTTGGGGAGCCCTGGAGGGGAGCCAATGGGGAGCCCGAACCAGGGCTCCTTGATCTCGTACTTACCATGAGGGAGCCCATTTTGTGCGACTTTTGGCTCTCGTTTTAGGGGGAGCCCACTTTTGAAGTAGACGGGCTCGGGCTCGTAGAAGGTGTGATTCTGCGTAAGCATTTTATACTTTAGCGTGGTAGCCTGCTCATAGAAATCAAGTTGCAGTCGACGTGATTAACGCTCGGTTCTGGGCTGCGGGCAAATCCATTTGAACTTCAGAGCGCTGATGCAACTGATGTTGCTCGCGGTTTGCTGTTGAGCACACTGTGTCTTGCTCACTTCAACTTCGTCAGCCGGCTTCGTCGCAATGAGCGACATGACTTTAGCTTGAAGACCGTGCTGGAGTGTGTCAACTTTGCGCTTGCTCCCTCGTGCAAATCGAAGTCTGCATAAGACTTCAACCACGCAGCGGTGCGAGGTCGTGATCCGTTGGCCTCAGAGTCCGAAAGCAACTCAGTTCGCATTTCGGCCGATAACATCAATACTGCACGTTGACACTGATGCGCGGGTTGCAAGTTGCGGCAGTGGTGGTGGCAGCTTGTAGCACCAACATTTTAGTGGAGGCGTCCACCGACTATGGAGTGTTCACGCCCAAGAAGCTTGCGCTTGGCTCCGCGCCGACGATCGCATCAACCGACTACACCAAAGGCTTCACGTTAACCGCTGCAGATCCCATCGCCACACTCGACTACGACTACGAAGTAGCAGGACTCCCGTACTTCGTGGTGTCCGCCGTCTCGAACGGCCCCGTCGACGTGGAAGTAAAGTACTCGGAGCAGTTCGCCGTGCTGTCGACCAACTTCTCCGATGGACCCTCGCAATTCGCCACGGCAGTCGCCAACTCACGTCGCGTCGAGACGCACCGCTTTACCCAGGAGGAGATCGGCGCGACGGTGACGTCCATGCTGAGTCAGCCCGGCCAGCGGTGGCAGACGCTGCGTCTACTGAGCGGTGACTCCGTCACGTTCGAGGCCGTCGGTCTACAGGCGTCGATTGAGGTGATCGACGATCTGGCCACGCTCCCCGGGAAGTTTTCGAGCTCCAACGCCAAGTACAACGAGATTTGGAACCTCGGTGCTCGCGCGGTGAGCGCTGCTTGCCTGGATGCGGGCAGCCAGATCTCGTCCTGGAGCGCGTCGGAAGAGAACGGGACTTTTGTGCCTGGTACGCGGCCAGGAGTCTCGTACAAGACGTGGAACCTGAGTGACTACACGCTCGAGTTCGAGACGCAGATCATCCGCGGCGGCGTCGGGTTCTACGTTGGCTACGACATCGCAGCCAACCGAGGCTCCCTCATGTTCCACTTGTCGTCGGAGTACCCCGCCAACTCGACCTACGTGAACACCAACATGACGCTGTTTCCGGCCAACTCGGTGACTTTGACCTACGGCTTCGACTTCGTCAACACGACGGATATGAAGAGCTACCCAATGGGCAACTACGAAGTGCCATTCAACGTGAAGGAGTACGTTTGGTACCCGGTGAAGGTTGCAGTGAACTCCACAGCAGGGAACTTGGCACTTTGGTTAGATGGCCAACAAGTACTTGACGTCACGATTGCCGACTTCGGCTACAGCGAGTCCCAGCTTACGCTCAATGACTACTCGACGACCGGGAAGGGTGCTATCGGCTTCGGTGGATGGCAAGACCAAGCTTCGTTCGTCCGCAACGTGACGGCCACAAGCTTGAACGATTCAACCAACGTCCTTTACTCGAACCCGATGACCGACGAGAGCGTAGTGCTCCCGGAGTTCGGCGTGCAGAGTAACACGTACGGGGTGTGCCTCGATGGTGCCAAGCGCGACCGATACATTTGGCTGGGCGACTTCTACCACACGACCCGCATCATTGGCGTGGCCAACTCCAAGCCCGAGCAGATCACGGGTACGTGGGAGTACTTGCTCGACTACCAGGGATCGAATGGGCAGTACCCCGGTCTGATGGTCATGACGTACGAGACTCCGATGCCCACGCCCGAAGTTTTCATGTTTAACGCTGGTACAGCTGACGCGTATTTGAACTTCCCGGACTACGACATCTTGGGGCTCATCGGGTTTGTGTCGTACATGGAATACTTCAACGACGTGGACTTCGCGCGAGCCAACTGGGAGTCGTTGAGGAATGCTACGGCTTGGCTTGCGAGCTGTCAGGAGAGCAACGGCCTCATTGACGTCAACAAGTACGTGGATGTGTACGTGTTCTTGGGATCGAGCGCGGGCACCGCCGTCAACGCTGCAGCTGTGCAATGTCTGGAAGGCATGGCCAAGGTGGCGGAGGCTGTAGGAGACGAAGGCTCGGCCAACGAGTGGGCAGCTGTCGCTGTTACCGTCAAGACCGCCATCAACGAGCTGCTCTGGAGCGATGCACTGGGCAACTACGCCGTGGACGTCTCGACTCCTGAGGTCTACGGTGTCTCGGCCACTGCGTTCGCTATCACCTCTGGAGTAGCGAGCGAAACGCAGATCAAACTGTGCGTGGAAAGCCTGGAGGGTCTGCGTCAAGGCCCCGGGTACCTCGACTCGAGCACCACGGACAACACGACCAAGATCTCCCCGAACACGAACGGGTTCCTGCTTGATGCACTGCTGCAAACCGGACACACGGACGAGGCCGTCTTCTTGCTGGACAACCTCTGGGACGCCATGATCTCTAACGAGTCGTATCGCTCCGGGGCCAGTTGGGAGTACGTCTCGCAGTCGCTTGAGCCAGGACTTCAGGAATTCACGTCGCTGAGTCACCCGTGGGGTGGCGCTCCTACGTACGCGCTGACCAACTACATCGCCGGCATTCGCCCCGTGGACTTCGGATTCCGCCGCTGGATCGTGAACCCGCTGGTGACGGGGCTGGGCCTCACGAACGCGAACGCTAGCGTGAGCACGCCCTACGGCTCCGTCGCTGCTGCCTGGACGCGTGACGACACTCAACTTAACGTGACGATCACGGCTCCAGTTGGTACAGAAGGAACGTTCGAGGTGGTGCTGCTCAACTCCAGCAGCTACACGCAGAGTCTCAACGGCACCGGAGAAGCCATTTCATTCACCGTCCAGCTGTAGGCTGTTTAAGACTGCAACTTGCCATCAACTACAGTACAAAATGTAGCCATCCCTTTCATTTGGCAAATCTCTCCCGTAAATAGTCATTTCGTGTCCCGTACATCAAAGCCGCCACATTTCAACGACCATGGTGGCCTCGACTCCGCCTCCCGCCCGGCAGCGCCGCGCGCAAGAAGCTACGGGCCCGAACCCGAAGAAGCGCCGCGCGAACACGCCACCGCCCGCCTCTGCATCTGCGCCAGCGGCCAAGCCTCAACCCGCCGCCGCTGACGCTGCCGCCAAGCCGCTGAACCGCAAGCGGTTCCTGCGGTTCCTCAAGTCGCACGAGCTCAAGTTCGGGCTGGCGCCCGTGGCGCGCGACGAGGCCACGGGCGAGGTGACGCTCGTGGTGTGCCGCTTCTGCCAGCACTTCGGGCGCGAGCAGCGGCCGGACAAGCAGCGGCGCAGCACCAAGAACGTGAAATACTTCCGCAACTCGTTCCGCACGGACCAGTACCAGCAGCACCACGAGCTGTCGCACTGCGAGGCGTGGAAGCGCTACCAGGACTGCAGCGACGACGAGAAGCGCGCCTTCTTCCCGCTGCCCGAGGGCGCCACGCCCGAGATGCCCGTGCAGCCCGTGGTGCCGCCGCAGAAGCTCAAGGTGGAGCTCGCGCCCGGAGAGGTCTGGGCGCTCGAGCCCACGCGCAAGGAGCGGCAGCGGTTCTTCGAGATCGCGCCGGCCATCGTGGAGCTCGTGGCCGTGATGGCCATCGGCGCGACGCAGCCCACGGTGCAGAACGTCATTGAGAAACAGAGTCACCACCTGATGGCCCATGCGCACGAACCGACGTCCAATGCCGTAGCCCGGTGGACCCCCCCGGAGGACACGTTCCAGTCGTGCACGCTGGTGGGTACGGTGGTGGACCCGTTGTACCGTGTGGTGGCGTTCTCTCGCGCGCAGATTGACTGCTTGGTGGAGCTGGCGGCGGCGGGGCTGTCGTTTAGGCAGATTTCCAGTACCATGAGGTCGTTCCGATCCCATGCGCCGGTGTTGCTTCAGGATGTGGTGAAAGGCCAAAGCGCGGGGAGTGATACCGCGAATAAACAGCCCCAAGGAGCCCAGAGTGTGAGCCCAGAGTACACTGAGGAGCAGACGGCCGAGTTTGTGCGGCTGATTATCGCGGCCAGTTTGAGTGTGACGGCAAGACTTCTGCGCGGGTGTTGGGCCTTCTCCTTGGTGTTGAAAGCGTCCATGGAACACGCGCCGGTGCGATCGTATCTGGAGTTTCGAGTGAAGGTGTATGGTGGAGGAGTGATGCACAACGTGCATCTGCTCTCGATACCGTGCTACGAGGGCAAGTGCAAAATGATGATGTATAGTACACTGGAGCGAGTTCTGAGTGTCGTGCTGCCTAACTGGAGGCAGCGGCTTATTGGTGTGGCGACTGATGGTGATGCTCAAATGCCCGCGCGAGTGCTGGATATTGTGGCGCGTTTGCAACAAGAGGCTGCAATTCCCGTCGTGTACCGCTCCTCGAGTGGGTGCCATCAACTAGATTGTATCGTGACCAACTTTTATTCATCCCTGCAGGGCGGATGTTTCCTGTTGGTTCTCAAGGAGCTATCCGCTTATATTCGCCGGCAACCAGAGCTTCTCGCGAGAATGACGCCTCCTCCTCCGACCCCCTCTAGCTCCGGCAGCTCGAAGGATAGGTGGGTTGCGCTCGGAAAGGAGACGAACTGGATTGCAGCTCATCGCGAGTTGATTTACCAGCACTTGGAGGTGGAGAAACCTCCGAGCGCGCCTGATAGGACGTGGTGGCTGTTTTTCGCGACGGTCAACTGGGTAGCAACTCGAGCGAATGAGACCTTCGCGAAGTTGCTGCGTAACCACGCCATGATCGCTGATCAGATTGAAGCCGTAGCCGCGCTCTCCAGAGAATGTGCCGCTGCGTTTCACGCGCTTGGCCCACTGGATGACCCGCTGCTAGCGAATGTAGCCCATGACAAGATGTACAAGTCACGCAAGGGCCGCTTCGCACTGGGCAAACCGAGCATGCTGGCCTTCATCAAGGAGATTGACGCTCTGTCACATGATATCATCAACACCACCGACGATCCCATGGTGGACCTCGCTGCGGAAAACCTGTCGATTTGCGGAGTCAGCATGATTGAGGCCCTGCTGGAGCTCAGCAGTGCGCTCGGCAATGAAGGTCACGGCCCAACGCGCGGGCCTAATAACCCCAAGGTGTCTGAGTTCTTGCCACCAACACTACCCCACGAACTCGCGCAGCTCAGCGGCCGCGAGTTCACGTCGTTGCTCAAGACGTACGGCCCGATGGTGCGCAACTTTTTGTCCGAGGAAGATATCGACATCATGGACCAGGAGCTGCAAGGTCTGCGTCGTGGGGCTGTGCGCGAGTCGGTGCTGAGCGCAGCTCTGGCCAACTGCAATGCCGAGACGCCGTTCGAAGAAGCGTGGGCGCTGACAGAGCGGCGCTTCAAGCTGCTCGAGTGCTTCGCCGGCGGGTTTGCCAGTGTGTACTCGTGCGGCCCCATCGCCACTCAGGGTGGCACCAGCGACCTGCCGCTGTGTCGAAGCGACATGGACACAGCCCGCGTGCTGCTCGCGGACTTTGCGCTGGAGGGATCATTGCACGCCCAGCAGTTCCCAGCGCTGATGGCTCTGAACGAGAAGCTGGACGAAGCAAGCCGAGTCCACAGAGAGGTGACGAACACCAAAGTGACCGTCGTGTGAGGGATACAATAGTCAATTGTCTTGCATACAGTACAGAGTAAATGTAGTTCCTCGTCACATGTAGCTGGGATATCACTATTGCACGCGTCCAGCAAGAATGGCTTCAACTTTCGGTTGAAGTCAGAAAAAAAGTGAAACCCTAAACCCCTCCACCACACCAACCCTACACAAAAATTCAATAGCATTTTTGCCGACATTCCTCAGAAGTTCCATCGTCCCCCAAGATGTCCCGCTTCCTGGCCGAACCCATCACGACCAAGGAGTCCGAGAGCTTCTCGGCGCCCGGCATGTCCATCGGCAGGTCCAGCATGCAGGGCTGGCGCGACACCATGGAGGTAGGACGCTCTACGAGCACTCGACCGACAGCGAAGTGGGCAACGTCGGCCTTGTGACACAAAACAACTAAATTATTATTATTTTATTGTTCAGGACGTGGACATTGTGAGCATTCCCATGCACCCAGACGTGCCGGACACCACTTGCGTCGCTGTATTCGACGGCCACGGAGGACCCTCCGTCTCCACGTACATGTACGTGGTCTTCCGCCGGAATTATGATACATATTGACTGCGCACTGACTCGTGGTTTATTGTCAATAATATTTATTATTCTTCAGTGCGGAGAAGATCGTGGAGGCTATCACGGCTACGGAGGCTTTTAAGAAGGACCACAAGTCGCCTGAGTCGCTGGCTGTGGCGCTGTGCGAGGGCTTCATGGCCGCTGACGAGATGCTGAAGGAAGACCCGGAGTACGCCACTTCCAGCGATGAAGTCGGCTCCACGGGGCTCTTCGCTATTGTCACGCCCAAGGACATTGTGTGCGCCAACGTGGGCGACTCGCGCTGCATTCTGAGCAACGCCAAGACGCCGGAAGTTCTGCAGCTGTCGGTGGACCACAAGCCCGACTTGGAGTTCGAGAAGCAGCGCATTGTGGCAGCGGGCGGCACAGTCTTTCGTGGACGCGTGTGCGGCGGTGTGGCTGTCTCGCGGAGCTTCGGAGACCTGTGGTTCAAGCGTAACGCTGATCTCAAGCCCCACCAGCAGCTAGTGACGTCCGAGCCCTGCGTGCGCGTCCAGCGCCGCGACCCCGCCGACGAGTTCCTGGTGCTGTGTTGTGACGGTATCTACGACGTCATGAGCAACGACCAGCTGCGCAAGTTCATCCGCAGTAAGATCAAGAACGGCGTGAAGAGCCCCAAGGAGATCGCCGAAAACCTGCTCGATGAGTGTCTGGCCAAGGGCAGTCGCGATAACATGAGCGCCGTCATCGTGCTCTTCGACGCTGCCCTCAAGAAGTAACGGCCTCTTCCAGGTCTTTTGGTCAGCGATGAAGGCATGTAGCCTCACAGAGCTCCTCTTGTTTTATTCTATCGTAACCTTTTGAGTTTTTTTTCTTCTGCTCCATACAGACAGTGTGTTTCGTTTCACTGCTGAGCTTGCGTCTCTACTCGATTGGTGGCTGCTGCTGGGGATTCGTGACGTACTCGTACATCAAGCTCGCGCGTAAGGATTCCATGTGGTCCCTGGTGTTTCTACTGCTAGATGAGCCCGCATCTTGATCGTGTTTTCCATCGACGTGTCGTAGTAGCAGCATCGGATACCGGTGCAAGAGCATCATGAGTATTGGACGGTAAGCTTCAGGAGCGGGCGCGTGGAAGTCACTGCCAAGCTCCAGGGCGCAACGGAAGCAGCGCTCCACATCCATGTCCACAAGCAGTTCAGGTGTCGGTAGATCCTGCTCCTTGACAAGGAGCTCGAGCGCTTGCAGAGCGTTCTGCTCGACACACACGACCGCAGCGTAGGCGAGATAGCGCAATGCGTTGCAGCACTGGAATCGTGGTCTGCGGGGAAAATACTTTTCCTGTCTGCACATGCCGTACAGCAAGCACTCGTGGATATCCTTGGACAGAGCCACAGTCGAATTGGAGGCGCTAGTGGTTGCTGGTGCGGGGTACAGCAGGAGCTCCATGATCTCGATCTGGTTGTGCGCGGCGGCACAAGAGAAGGCGTATCCAAGGAGCTCTTGAACAGGTTCACTCGAAAGCTTGTACCGAGTCTGCAGGTCAACCACACTGACTCGGCACATCTCAACATCACCCTCGGTGCATGCCTGCACGAACTTCTCCTCCAGCTCGGGAGCTATCATGACTATTGCGGCGGATATCTTCCGATGAAGGTGCCAAGAGCCGCGTATGATAACTCTTACGATTGTCATACGTTACTTGGCTAAGGCTACGACAAAACTTTGGTTCGAGCGGAACTCTACGGGTCTCGAGCATCGTCGTAGATTTTGACGACTGAGGCGAGGTCGCACTTCATCTGCGTGATCGGGCACTCGCCGTGCTGCTCGACGTAGCGATACACGCACGGGTAGCAGAATACATATCCTGAAGGCGCCATGGCTGGGTTGACGCGCTTCTGCTTGCACAACGGACAAAGCGCCGGATCCATAGTAGCCAACGTCAGCGCTTGGCCGGAGAATTGCGGCGGTAGTGGCGGGGGCGGGATCGGCGCGTCGGTGCCAGTGAGACGCAGTTTGGCCGCCACGCCCTCTTCCGAGTACATCCACTCGACGAACTTGTACCCCGCAATACCGAGCAGTAACAGCACGTACGAGTGGTCTAGAGTCGCCCAAGTCGCACGAAGCGCCAGCCTCCGAGCCCTGTCGAACAGCCCCGACCCGCCCAACTTCTCCATCAGCTTCTCCCGATAATTGGATTCATTCTGCCGGAACGCCGACTCGTCGTCTGCAGTGACCCGCACGAGCACCGTCTTCATGCAGCGCAGGAACGGCGAGAAGTACGGCGTGTCTCCGAAGAGGTACAGCCACTGGTACAGGAAGAAAGACCCTTCGTACGCGAAGTGCGCGAACGGGTACGTGGCCACGAAGCCCTTCTTCAGCGAGCGCAAGTACGCGAACTGACGCAGCCGACGCAGAAAATTCCCCATCCGCTGCTCCCTCCTTCCTGCCCCAGAGTCCTCCCCATTGGCGGGTGTTGGCCTCGCCGTTGTCCTCATCAACTGCTCCGCCGTCTCCTTGTGATACGCGTCCAGCTTCGACTTCAAGTACGGCACCACCACCTACAGCATCAATGCAGCCTCAGCATTAGTACCACCAATACTACTACCATCATTAATGCTGTGTCACCGACGTACAGCGAAGAGCAGTGCGAGTTTCTTCGCCCTCGGCGTCAGGGGCGACGTGGTGGCCTCCGTTCCCTCAGCGGCCGGCGCTTGGAGCATGACGCGCTTCATGCCGTAAAACTTCTCGGTGGCCAGGCCGTCGTAACGCGACAGGAAGTAGCTCTCGATGCAGTAGCGCAGCAGCGCGTAGCTCTCGTCCAGGCGGCGCACGGGCAGCGCCAGCGCCAGCCGCGGGTACGACTCGCACAGCGCGTGCGCCAGGTACTCGACCGCCGGCTTGAAGCCCGCGGCCATGCGCTCCTGCATCAGCAGCTCGAACAGCGACGGCGCCTTGGCGGCGTCGGGCGCGCCGCCCTCGTCCCCGGCGAAGCCCTGCGTCTGCTCCAGGAACAGCATCACGTTGACGCAGTCAAGTCGGCGACTGACGCGGGTGGCGCTCTTCAATGAGCCTTGTCTCACCCGCATATAGTGTGCACCACTCTACTTTAGTACTGTACTTAGTGGATATCACCCAAGTTTAGGAAATACAGTTGCATGGTTGCTTGACGGTCGCGCGACGGTGGCTGGAGTGTGATGTCGCGCAACATATTTGTTAGAGCAACAGAAGTTCACTTTCGAGACCTGCGCCCCGTAATTTTAAAATAATTCCAAAACGGAAAATAAATTTAATACTAAATGGAAACATTATAGAAACTGGATTATAGGTTCTAATTATGACTTTGAATCTTATGTTGATTTATCCCATAGCGAGACTTTTAATGAATTTTTAAATAATCCTTCTAATTTGAGTAATGAGTCCGGCAGTTCTATAATTTAAATGAAGATGAAACTAATTTTAAACATTTCAATAATAGTAATTTAGTATTATTTAAATATTAAAAATCCACATATGAGGAATTATATTTGTAAAAATAAAATATTTATTAACATAATATTTTGTCTGGATTCCGTGCATCAATGATTTGTAACGTTAGATTCAAAACATAGCCTATAACTGTTTTGTAACGTGTGTTGGTTGTATAATATAACCAATAGACTTAATTAAGCCAATAGCTGCCACGCAAAATGAATGTGCTGTTTACAGCTTTTTAAGAAATATACAGTACAATAAACTTAACAAAATGTTGTTAAAATATGTTTATAAGTTATATGAAAACAGTAACGTAGCGTAGACGAACTCTAACAAAAAATCATCATCTATCTAACAAAATATTTGATATTTTTTTACATGTTATAGGATTGTATCCGTCACATAATATTACATATACTGATAACACTATCAAGATTATTTATAACTTCGCAAACATAAAATATTATGTTATTAAAAAATACGTGATAAATATAAAATACTACGAAAAAATTACTTTTCATTGTAAAAATATATGACGTTTACTATATATTGTGCCTTGTACACAGTTTGCCACCCAAATTTAACCGTCAAATCGAGATGGCTCGGCAAATAAAAATAACTGTATAAACAGGCCATCACCTATAAATTGAACCTCCTAGAATTGCTCGCGAGACTGAACGTGTGCAACACGTTCTAACGAGCAGCAGATACTGTGTCTGATGTAGAAATACCAATCTAAAACGGCATCTCCAGCAATATGGTGCTACATAGATCGATCTCGGTGTGGCGTAGCGGACTGAAGCTGAGCCAACAAATCAGAGCTGATGTATGCATTATGTGCTCGTTTTATTTTAAAACGATCTCACTTTATATTAAATCGAGGAAACTTACTATGGGAGCGGACATTTTCGGAACAATAATAGTTTATTTATTGTGAGAACCGGCTAAAACGCCCATCTGTAGAAACCCCTTATGAGATCTCAATCAACTATTTTATCAGAGTACAAATCGGGTTTGAAATCGATCGTGGTTTTTATGCATCGCTTTGCTGCGCGATTGCCCAGTAAAAGGTGGGCATTCTGCTTCAAACGCGGCTATATCGACTTGGTCTCCATAAAACGATCGCCTAATCCGCACATCCACTCACATATGTATCGCAGGGACGCGATCGATTTACAAATCGATCGAGCTAAATCAGGGTGCCAATCAATCGATTTTACGAGCAAAATTGGGAAATGAAGCGGTTTTCACAATAAGCAGTAGTGCAGTCAATATATATTATAACATTATAATATATTTTCGATAATGATTGCATTTTTGGCTATTCGTTAATTTACGGCTATTGCTATTAACCCTTTGGTGGACAACCGGGGCATCTTGCCCCCAACCACACCCTTCTCAAAACACGGTGCGTTTTGGCCCGATCGTTCGGGGCAGAATGCCCCCATTGGGTTTTGTACGACTGTGCGCATCATTTTTGTTTTTAGCCAATCAATTCTCGAAAAGGGTAGGTGTAATTTAATAGCTGCCTGGGATCCCTGTGCAAGCCGATAAAAACCCCTTACAATTGTTGAAATTTACACGATATCTTACAGAATCAGGTGACGCATCGTTGAAGTCTTGCTAAAGGTATCCAATGTCCATCACCATAGAGCTGTCAAGAGTTGCAATCTTTCGTAGGTGCATCAGTAGCCATCCAGCGCGCCAGCTCCTCACACTGGAATCTGCTGCTTGCTGGAGAGATGGCAGATCCAAGACCCGACTCGGAGCGTCATGACGTACGATCACCTTTTTTTTGTGCACAAGCTAACTCTAACTCAAATCTATTTCGTACGTATTTCTGTGTGAGTAGGTGCCGCCACCTGTGAAAACCCACACGTCCAATGGCAAGCGCATTTACAGCCAAAATGGCGTCAGCCTCGATCAGGTGAAGTTCAACTGTCACGATTACATTGTTCTCGCTGCTTTGAACTAATAGCTACGAAAGTAGGCTCTCTCCTTCTATAGTCACAACAAGGAGATCAAGTTTGACTCGCTCTATCCAGTTTATCAAGATCCAAAAGGACGCGTAGGTTTGTTTGTGGAATAGTATGCGTAACGTTTCCTCGGCTAATGTTGCGTATTTCTTTTCTAGACGTTCGATCCTGTACTTGGGTCAACGGATGACGTGGACGACTTTATTGCCGCACTCCCAGTCAAGGAGATGTATGATGTCTACAAGAAGGTTTTCGAGGACACGGCGACCAAAGAAGATATCCACGAATATGTATGGATGCTGCGATGGCTCCAAACCTCCATGGAACTGTCCAAGGTAAGATGACGTTTTCATTTTGATCGACTCCTCTTTCTGACACGTTTCCTATAATCTTACCTAGATCACTCGCCGTCGGATCCAAAGGCGCCTCAAATTTCTGAGCATCTACCTTCGCCAAAAGCGGTCCAAACTTGACGATCATATCGAGCGATATATTCAAATGAAAGCCGATAACCAGGACGACGCAGACTCGATCGAAGATCATCGATTGGAAGGGTACATGCGGGAAAAGGGCTACAATCTGATGCTCTTTTTTAGCATGGCGATGGACGTTATCGACGTGTTAGCTTCTCAGCTCACACCCCAGCTGCAAGAACACAGATGCGAGTGTAGCTAATGCGAGTACTACCGCTCTCCAGAATGGCAGATGGCGGCACCGGAAGGTTTGACACGTGTGGCCTTATCACCGCGTCGATTTCATCAACGCGGGTGCGAAACCTTTTGCCTGACCGAGCACTACTACCCGCATCCATAGCCCCAGTTTCGTACGGCGGAATAAATGTCTGTATGCTAGCGTTTTTTGTGATAAATGTTTCCAAGCTGCACGTTTACTACTACTAGTACATTGTACTACCTACGACTTCGTTCTCATACCGTCAAAGCTAATTAGCAGTGCAAAGTGCTCATCAATTCGAATAGATAGGCTCGAACTTCACCCCTTGCTTTTACTAAGTGAAAAACGTTGTGATATTTTGTCACAGAATGGTTTATACTTTGCCTATGCTGAAAGTCGTTTGGTGTGGACAGTACTCCCGTGGTCTCTTTTCATGCATTGAAAGCACCAACCTGTTGATAGGCACTGTATGCAGCTCATCTCAGGCGACGGAGGACGTGTGCAGTGCCTGCACCAGCTCCCGTAGGAACGACGAGCTAGATAGTCCTGGCCACCAAGACGCATGGTGAGCTTCTGCTGCAGGTGTGGGGTTGATAATGGTGGGATCGCCTGGAGTATTTTTTGAAATATCTCCATGCTGCAGCGGGTGGACCTTCAAGCTCCGCTTACGCGGTGCAGCGAGCGCGGGATTGTAGGATGAACCGTACGAGGTGGGCACTTCACCTGCAGCATGCGAAAAGCTCGCGCACCGCCTTTTCGATGGCATGGGCTCATCGGAGCACATCGTATCTGCAGGCTACTCCCTCGAAATAGGCGCCAACAGCTTATCGGGCAGCGTGCTTCCCGTAATCACAGGGGAGGATCGTGGTGTCGTGCGCGCATCGGGCACCACAACAACTACCGTACCAACGTCAGGCAATGAGGACGCCAGGTCAAGTTGTCAGCTGCAGTGGGCCGTGCGTGAGGTTGTCGAGCAGCCTAGAGTCCTCGAGTTCAACGACAGCGATGCATTATCCCATCGAGGAGCAGACAGCAGAAGTTCTCGGCGGGCGGCTGTGCGGCAACCTCGAGCTAGTCCGGTGGGCAGCGGCCATGTTCATTAGCACATCGGGCAGCCTGGCGTCCACATGTAGGTCGGGCAGCGTGGCGAGCGTAAACACGTCGGGCAACATGACGACCGCAACATGTCGGGCAGCGTGGCGACCGTGGACATGAAGGTCAGCGTGGCGACCGTGAGCCATCGGGCAGCGTGTGATCCAACAAATTGTCGGCCAGCATGGAGTACACGAGTACGTCAGGCAGCGTGGCGACCATGAACATGAAGGTCAGCTGGCGACCGAGGGCACGTCGGGCAGCGAGGCGACCGTGGACATGAAGGTCAGCGCGGCGACCGTGAGCCATCGGGCAGCGTGGCGACCATGGACATGAAGGTCAGCATGGCGTCCGCGAGCACGTCGGGCAGCGTGGCGCCTGCGCTTCCGTCGGGCAGCATCGTGACTTGGGGCGGGCCGCGGAGCATTTCGACATCAGCGCGACCATCAGGATCTTTGTCGGTGCGACGCGGGTAGGGTGGGTACAAGAGATGTGCAGAGGGCTGCAAATCCGAAAATGAGCCTTTGAAGCGAGTGGCAAATCGCCACTGGCAGGCGCGCGCAACTTCGCGCGCGAGCCCAAGGATAAACCGCATTGACCAATAACATTGCGGTATTTAAAATTTCGGCTCGTAATTGGCGGAACCAGATGAAAAGAGCACGTGATTGGACCAGCGTTGGCGCGTACTTGAAGTTGTCTCCCATTCTACTTCAACCTAGCCGGGTGCCGATCTTCACCTCATAAAACCCGCCACCCACGTGTAGATTTTTTCCCAACATGTGTAGTTTGCCACACAGCCACAGAATGTCAGAACCAGT